GAAGTCAGAATCGGAGCTGAGAAGTGCTGGCCCTGCAGAGGTGAACTTTGGCAGAATGTGAGACCAGAACCTCTTACTGGGAAACACAGGACTGGTGGATAAGGTGTTTGAAACATGGACTTGCTTTGCTCAATGGCCTTTTTTATTTTTCCTCACACTGCATTTTAAAAATAAATGTATTGAGGCGTACTTTCCATACCAAAGAATTCCCTAATTTCAACTATACAATTCCATGATACTTCCAGCAGACTTACCTAGTTGTACAACCATCTGCATACATGAGTTTTAGAACATGACCATTGCCCCAGTAAGATCCCTCATGCCTGTGTCCTGTTAGTCCCGAATCCTACCCCCGGTCTGAAGCAGCCACGAATCTGCCTCGTGTCTGCGCATTTGCCTTTTCTGGATATTTGACATAGATGGAATCTGACAGTACGTGGTCTCTTGTGCCTGGCTTCCTTCACCCAGCATAACATGTTGAGTCTACAGGCCACAGTATAGAATCAGTAGTCCATTCTTTTTCATTGCTGATCTTGGTGGCCTTTTCTGTGTTTGCTGTAGGTCACAGTCACCAGCTGTTCCATGTGTGTGTGATCCTGGCCACTCACATGCAGATGGAAGCCATACTTCTGGACAAGACTCTGAGGAAGGAATGGCTCCTGGCACACGCCAGGCCCCTGTCTTTCCCTCAGATAGCTGGAGCCATCCTTCTGTGCCTCGTCTTCAGCCTCAGCAACATAGTTTATTTCTCAGCTGCTCTGTATCGGATTCCTGAGCCAGAATTACATAAAAAAGAAACATGATTCAAACATGTTCGTGCCAGATGTCAGCCTTAAGCTAGCCCATCCTAGCCACCCTAACCCAGCCGCATGGAACCAGTTTCCAGAGGTCTGAAATAGCCGCAGTGGCTGATGTCTTGGCATTTTTGAGTGGGTTCTTGTCAATAAGGTATTGAACTGGGGACATTTCTCTAGATGTGCACTGATTCTATATTATTTTAAAAGGGGAAGATGGGTTCAAGTAAGTCCTTGTTTGGGCAGATTCTTAATATTTCATTAAGTTTTAAATTTATTTAAAATGGATTTTTCAATCCTATTTAAACAGTTGGAAGAAGCATGCCGCCCTTGTAGCTTGACATTAAACATTTGAATGAAGCTTCATGACCTTTGTAGTATTACCCTTTGCAAATGGAACTTACTTCAGTTGATGAGTTCCACATAGCATAGCCTCTCCCAAGAGCTCCAGGGCGGGAGAATGAGCCAGAAAGATCAGTGTAAGGAACCTGAGTCAGAGGAAGTTGGGTCTGTGGGAGTTCTGGGGACAGGGGAAGCACTCGAGAAGGGAGAGACCTGGTTTGGGGAAGGGTCTTCTTCCTTTTCCCACCTAGTGAAAGGAATGAATAGAAAAGAGTCCTCTTTTCCACAAGTCCGTTCTACCTTATAGTGCCAATTCCCATGTCATTAGAACACCCACATGGCTGGCTGTCCATGTTCTGTTTTTTAATGTTTTCATGTTGCCGGTTTGATGCTGCACTGTATTGTGTAGTATGGGTCAAATGTGTAGTGTGTGGGAGTTGGCTGACTTAAGCTCTGTTGGCTGGGTTCATCTGTCACCTTTTAAACCAACGTCATCACGACATTTGGGGATGTTGTACATCTTCTAAATATGTTGTAGATGTCAGAGTTCATGTGCAGGAGAAGCTAAGACCTTGTTAATGGGTCAGTCAACAGTAGTGATTCTCAAGCTTTATCGTGAATCAGAAACACTTGGTGGGTTTCCAGGATTCCCTGGCAAAGTCAGAAGATTCTGCATTTGTCATTTAAAATGTAGGTCTTTTAGAGGAGATTTGCTCTAAATCTGAGTAAGTCCCCAGGTGATTCTAATGCAGAAGGGCCCCAGGCCAAACTTGAAGAGATGCTTTCCTCATGAATTCCAGAAGGCATTGGGCCTATCAGCTTGCTGTGATTGACCCAATTTTCAATGACCTACCACCTAAGGATATAGCCCCTTGTTTTCTACTCTTCATGAGACTGAGCAATTTCTCATCTTTTGCATTGGGAGTTAAATTTTAGTATTTCATGGTGTTTTTGGAGAGTACAAAAATGCTGATGCAAACCAGTTTTTAACAGAGGCCCATCAACCCCTGGTCTGCACTTGCTAATGACTTAAGGGGCTGTCCATCACAAAGCAGGATCTTCTTTGCTGCCTTAGGAACACACCGGTATCTTAGAATACTCCTCTATGGTTAACAGGCCCAGAAACTGAAACCGCCTTGTGAATAGTTCATTGTCCAATCCCCTAAGGACAAGTAAAAATTTATATTAGATGAGAGTGGTCAAGAAATATGATTTCATTAGTTTTATTATCTGTTTACTTCCTCTGGGGAAGGTAGACTGATAAAATTATATGGGCTGGTAAATTTTTGGTACATTAATTGCCAGCTGCCTGACAAAATTTAGTTTTTGGCAACAATCTGACATTGTTAGTGGAATTTTACCCCAGCAGGGTCTGTGGGCTCCCTTTTCATCTTGCTGTGACTACAATTTTATGCTGAGATAGTACAAAGTTTAAATACCCTATTCTAGTAATGCCAAAGACATGAAGCTTTTTAATATATCTTATTTAGAGAAAGTAAAATAATGTTTTTTGTTTAGCTCAGAAATAGTTGAAAGATAATAGGTGATTCATTCGAAGGACATTTAAATTATTTAATTTTGGGTTATGTGGCTTTTTCACCATACTTCACAACGGAAAAAGAAATGTTAGATCCACAAAATAGGAGCTGTGATTCATAATGTTTTTAGATGTTTGGTAAACTTAGTCCCATGGTATACTTTTGGACAGTGTTACAAGTTAAAATTTGAGAACAGTTTCCAATATACTGATTTAGAAGCTTCTAGATGTGGGAAGTGGGTTCACATATATTAATTACCCTTAGGTATTAAGAGTACTGGGGCTAGGGGTTCCTGGGTGGCTCAGTGGGTTAAAGCCTCTGCCTTCAGCTCAGGTCAGATCCCAGGGTCCTGGGATCGAGCCCTGCATTGGGCTCTCTGCTCAGCAGGGAGCCTGCTTCTCTTCCTCTCTCTCTGCCTGCATCTCTGCCTAATTGTGATCTCTGTCAAATAAATAAATTTAAAAAAAAATTATGGGGCTAGAGTTTTGCTTAAGCCATCCCAGAAAGTCAAAAATGCTGGCATTGGGTGAGCTGAAGACCCCACTGGGAAGATGTCTTTTCATGTAGCACCTCTCAGTGGCGCTTTTTTTGAGTTTTTTGAGTGTCTCAATTCGCCCCTGAGACACACCATACTTCCATTGGTGGTGACTGCTCGCCATGGCACTGCCTCAAAAGGGGTGACAGACTCCCAATGGGATGTCCCTGTTCTTCCTCCCCCTGTTGAGAAACACTACGCCCAAATTTCCCAGGCGCCACAGTTGCGTAAAGCCTGAATGTGTGTGAATGAGGCCACGTCGTCAGCTTCACCTTCCTCTCCTCATCTTAAGAGTTTCACTTTCCATTGCTCACTTTTTAGAGAGAAGCGAATTTGTCACTGTGGATTTGAATGAGAAGTGGGAGGTTTTAGAAATCATTTGAGTACAAAGTGGTCTAAATATTTGCTTTGCTGCAGTCTTTCTCAAAGTGCTTATTGTGGAACCCAGCTCACATGAGAAGTTCTAAGGAAGGCAAGTTGGAGAATGGGGCAGTCACATGTGTTGGATAAACCCTTTGTGTGGCTCTATTGTGTCCCAAATTTCTCTTGGCCACGACCAAACTATATGTTTCACTATATGAAACACCTATTAACACTGTATGATGATGCTCTATAACTATTAGTTGAATGCCAGCCTCTGATTTTCTAGCCAACAATCCATCATGGACAAAAAGGCAAAGACCCATTTCTTTTTTTTTTTTTTTTTTTTTAAAGACTTTATTTATTTATTTGGCAGAGAGAGAGATCACAAGTAGGCAGAGAGAGGCAGAGAGAGGAAGGGAAGCAGGCTCCCTGCCTAGCAGAGAGCCCGATGCGGGGCTCAATCCCAGGACCCTGAGATCATGACCTGAGCTGAAGGCAGAGGCTTTAACCCACTGAGCCACCCAGGTGCCCCCAAAGACCCATTTCTAAACTCAGATGTTCTTCCAACTTACAGCAATGTCTAGCTTTCTTAAATTGTGTGGGAGAAAGAAAATAAAATTTATTTGTTATAATAAAGTCCTATTTCCCCCTTGATTTGGTTATGTTTCACCTATCACACGGCAAACGTGTTTGTCGTAAGAAAGAGATTGCTACACACCTGTGCGCTGTTAAATCATTCTGTGGATATTTCTTTTGTGCCTGCTACATATAGAATGAACGATGTTTTAGGGTCTGGAGATAAGAGAAGTGAGGAAAACCCACCTCACTTGCATGGAGGAAATGTGCTGATGGTCAGTGGGAAAAGGGATGAGGCCAGATAGTGGGGAGTACGCTAAAGGAAATAAGCCTGGTAGAGAAATGGAGGTGGGAGGGACAGGGCCGAGGAGATCGGATGGCCACTCTGAGAAGCTGACAGCTGAGGAGAGCTTCGATGGGTAAAAAGGGTCCCACTTTGCCAGCATGCTGTGGGGTCGGTGTTCTGGGTTGATGTGGCATATATATGCAAAGGCCCCAAGTCCAGGAGGCACTTGTCCTGTTAGAAGTATGGAAATCAAGCCACTCATCCCTGAAACATATTAACTCTAGAAAATGTATGGGTCACTTGACTTTTGAACAATTCTGGAATTTCTCCTGGATGTTCTCCCCGGGAGATTGTGCAATGGGTTTACCTCTGGCCTCTTGGTATTTGTATGAATGCTTCGACTCTGTAATAGATGTATTTCAGACAAAGACAGAGTTGCCACATCCATTCTTTTCACTCAGGGCAACAGATTTCTAAAATTGGCTTAATTCTGGCCTCCTGTAGAGCATGGCACAAGGAATCTCAAAGATAATTTAATCCAGCCTCTCGAAAATGTGTTTGATGTTGTAAAATGCACATTGCCAGGCCCGGATGGACAGATGCAGAAAACCTTGGGAGGGAAAAGTAGTTCTTGAGTTTTAAATTTTAAACAAAAGCCCCAAGTGATTTTTAATATAAGGGAGTTTAAGAAACACTGGTCTATTTCAACCATTCTTTTTTTTTTTTTCACATTTGGAAAAATGTTCCCAAATAGTATGAAGAATTCCCAGGTATTGGGGTGTCTAACTGGCTCAGTTGGTAGAGCACAGTTCTTGATGTCAGGGTTGTAGGTTTGAGCCCCATGTTGGGAGTAGAGATTACTTAAAAATAAAATCTTAAAGAAAAAGAGACTTCTTAAGTACTTTTCATCCTCCCCCCTTTGGCAATTTCTATAACTCTCTTCTCCAACAGTGAGAAACGTGGCTCTTATTATCACAAAGTATTATTTCCTCAATCTTAGGATGTACAGAATGTCATTTCAGAATTACCAACCCATGTCTGCAAAAAGGCTTACTAATTAGAATTCGATATATGTTTCAGGTTCTTTTTGTCTTGAGCCTGAGGGCATATGGTCTCAATAGTCTAAATTACTTGGGTTAGTTATGGCCCATTTATGTGTATGTTATTCACTTGAAATATGGTTTAGGTCATTTGTTTCTTTTTGTATCAATTTTACAAGCCCCCCATGCCCCCCCCCAACTAAGCTTGCTGATTTTATTGTCTTTTGAGTCTATAAAACATTAACATCCAGTCATTCATTTTCAAATGGCCTGGGGAGAGTCCCAGGGCCAGTGGATGTGAGATGATGCTGCCACAGCTGATGGGAGTGAACAGCTGGGCCCCTAAGAGAGTGTCCCAGTGTTGTGTGTTGGAAGTGCCACAGGCGTCCTGTCTTCGTTGTACCACCCTCCCTCAAACACTCTAGGCTTTGGCAGTATCTGGTCACTAGTAGTTATATGGTTCCCACAGCTGGACTCGCGTAGCTAGGTATTTGAGTTAATTATGGTTCCCATCAGCTGAAGGGTCAGCCTCTCCCCTGTGTTTTGCATAGGACCCTCTCAGTCCAGTTGGGCAGTTTCTTATAAAGTCAAACTTACACTTATGGTGAAACCAACCATCCCACCAAGAGAAATGAAAATCC